TTCCTGCCCGGGCTGGCTTTGAACCATGATCCTCAGATCTCAGCCTCCTGAGTAGCTAGGATTACAGGCGTGAGCCATCAGCGCCCGGCCCATCAATTTATTTTTGAAGAAATAAGAAGCACTCCTGTTGTCTGTGGCCCACTTAATCACGGAGTTTTGGTCATTTATTACTAACATTTTTGGCTTATTTTACCTTCATGTTTATAAATTTGCTTCCCAGTTGGCTTCTCAGACTGTCATGAAAAATACCTTACAATCTTTAAATATGGTGACTGAGAACGCCATTAACTCATCCCTAAGGAGACTCTTTCAAAGGCAGATTCTTCTCTGGGGAAGGAGTGCTGCGGTTAATTAATCAGGCTAAATAAGCTACAGCAGGAATGTCGGGCTCACACCTGAGGACATCTCTAGGCTCCCAAAGCTACCTTGTCTGAGAAGACGAAGCCCAGGACGCCAGCAGCCAGCTGCAGCAGGAACACGATGGTGAGGCAGAGTGAGAACTGCAGGAAAAGGCAACAGTCACTGCTCAGGGCAGCAGCCTCTCCCGGAAGAGGGTTTGGGGAGCCACTGTGCACTTCTCCCCGCTGCCCCCAGCAGGGAAAGCCTTCTGCCTCTGGGACTGGGTGGGCACCCTGTGCTGGGTGGGTAGTGCAGGGATGGCAACAGGGTGGGCAGAATAAACAAAAAGGAAAGGCTATGGGAATGGCATCAGGAGAGACGGGGAAGCACCAAGAGGTGGGGCCGTGGTTTTCCTGGGGGCGTAGGCCACTCACCGTCTGCAGGAGGCAGATGTTCTCGCGGAGGGATCCAATGCAGCCGCAGAAGGTGAGAAGGAACATGAGTACACCCACCACGATCAGCAGGATGGCAGGGTCCACAGCCAAGCAGGCCAAGGCTGCTTCTGGGGAGGGGCCATCCCTCAGTGTGAGCACCGGGCCCACTGAGGAAGCTCCCAGGGAGGGAGTGAAAGGGTACCCCCCAAACTCTTCTTCTTCTTCCTTTGGTGGGACAGTCTCCAATGTGGTTGGGTAAAGATTATGGGGAAACTGGGTGCCGGTGGCTCAGCCAGGAGCCAGTGGCTCATGCCTTTTAGCTATTCAGGAGCTGAGATCTGAGGATCATGGTTCAAAGCCAGCCCAGGCAGTAAACTCTGTTGAGACTCATCTCCAATTAACCACCAGAAAACCAGAAAGTGGTGCTGTGGCTCAAGTGGTTGAGCACTGGCCTTGAGCTGAAGAGCTCAGGGACAGAGAGTTCAAGCCCCATGACTGCCCCATCCCTTGTACACGCAGGCGCGCGCGCGCACACACACACACACACACACACACACACACAAAACAAAGAACAGATTATGGGGAGACAACATCTGCCTCCCACGGAGTAGACAGAAAGAGCCCAGGAGGGATGGTAGCATTTAATTTGAGGAACTAACAAAATAAGTGCCTTCATTTCTGGACTCCTGAGAGGCTTCTTCCACTCCAGAGAAGAATTAGAATGGCATTAGGCTCACCAGCTCTGTGGATTCCATTTCCTGGAGACTTTGTGCAGAAGAGGAATGGAGGTTGAATTACTCCAGGACCAGTTAGGGGTGGCTAAAGCTTTTGATTGCTCTATGCTCCCAGAGGCCCAGCTTCGCTCCCGATACTTCCTAAGCCTCACCTGTCAGCTGACCTTGAGAGATCTGAGAGGGCTCAGAGAAACCGAACTACCCAAAATGGTCTGCCAACTTGGAGTAGCCATCTAAGACTTGTAGTCCCACAGCCCATGCAGGAAGGCAAGGAGCCAGGGCTGAAGGAGGCAGAGGCGAGGGTTATGGCAAGAGTGGGGGAGATACAGGAAGATCTATAACTTACCTGCATGCTTCATCAGCCGGGCATAGACACCCACTGCCACCATTACCATGGAAATCACCTATGGAAACAGCGAGGGAGCCAGACTCAAATTTTGGAGCCAGAGAGCTTTTGAATGTAATGAAAGCCCAAGAGGGTGGCATTCCCAGGACCAGGAGTGAGTGAGTAAGTGGTCCCACCCTCAGTTCCCACCCACACTCTCCTCCCCTGTTCAGGAATACTACTGATAGTACCTGTTTGACTTCTGTGAGATACTTTCCCCAACATTATCTCAAACAATCCTCACAATATACTCACCTCCTGAGGCAGATAAAGATCCTATTTTACAGATGAAGAAACTAAGATGATACAAGTTTAATACAGAATGGTGATTAAAAACATGGGCTTAAAAATATACATTGAAGGGCTGGGAAGGTGGCTCAGTGGTAGAGCGCTTGCTTTGCATGCCTGAGGCCCTGGGTTCGATTCCTCAGCACCACATAAGCAAAAAGAAAAAAGCTGGAAGTGGTGCTGTGGCTCAAGTGGTA